CGACAGATCCTAAAGGGGTCCAAATTATACAGTGAAATAAACAAATTTTGGTTTAATAATTACTTTTTAGGTAACCTGTTCTCAACCCCTGATGTCCCTTCTGTTCCTGTCCATCCTATTCCTGTTCTTCCTATTCCTGTTCTGCTGGACTTACCCAATTTTGAAGAAGGTAAAAAAGTATATAAATATGAATAAATATTGATATTTTAAGTTGCAAACCGATAATTTAATGAGAAAATTTAACATTAAACTCACAAGAAAAATTCCCCTCCCCCCCTTTCAAAATTAGTTTTCCCATGCACAGAATAAAGGTATATTTTCGTGGAATTTGGCCAAATAAATAAAATTTTTGTCTAAAAGAATTAAAAAGGACCAAAAAACTTGTTGAATATCAAATTTTTCATTATTTCACCTTTTTCCGGTCTGTTAAAGTTGTAAAGTTTATGTTTATTTTTTTTTCAGGTTCAAATCATGTCGCTTACGGTAACCAAAGGCAGCTGCGATTCTCGGCCCATTAGATACTAAACAGTGTAGACAAATCGTAATGTTTGTGGACTCACAGAGGATCTGGCTTGAGTTAATAAAGGTTAATTGTTTACTTAACTAAAATTTGTTTACTGCTTATTAAAGGGACTATTGCAATTGGTTTAATTTAATTTGGTTGACAATGGTACCATTTAAACCTTTACCCGACCGCGCCCCTCTTTTTTTTTTATCTTAACAGTACCCTTTTCATGTGTTTTACCTTTTTTCTTAATTACAATTGACATTTTCCTCCATTGTTTGTGAAGCTGAAATAGATTTTGTAGATCATAAATCATAGACCGTTATCATAGATTCACATTTTTTAATTAAACCATCAAATTTCAAATCTTGGGTATTTCCACATTATAAATGATTTACAACCCTTTCAACCTTTAACTGATGTAGAAAAACCACAATTGAAAATAGATAGATAGATAGATAATGTTTATTGCTAAAAAACATGTATCTGTGTTCAGAATGAGTTTACAATTACAAGTTGATGATTATTTTAGCAGTACAAGTATAAAGCAATTAGGTGTTGGCTGTTTTGATCATTTTTTTCAACAGTTTTCAAAATTTTAAACATTAATATCTAAAATTATTACTTGATCAGACAAATTTCATTCTAGTTCCCTTGATCTGAGGATTGGTAGTATAGAGCGGATGAAGGATGATGTTGTGGGACGGATGAGGGATGAGATGGAAGCTCTTTTATCTGAAGAGATTTCTGGGGAGGAGGAGGAGGATGAAGATGAACGTGATGATTATAAAAATGGTAAGAATACTTTTAATATTATCATTATAATGTTTTTAAAGGGACTGTAAATCTAATTTCAAGGGACCCTCCATGAAAGATGACAAGGCCCGATTCACAATGGTACCCTTTATCTTTTCAATAATGTGAAAGATGTTGACGTTTTTTCTAGGTTTAAAAGTGTTTCATTTTGATAATTCCTATAGTTTTCCTGCTGTAGAAATGCGCAAGTCACTTTTGTAGAGAAATCCTAATTTCAAGAGAAAATAATCAGTTTCAAAATGTTAAATATATGATATTTAATTCATACTAAGAGTTGTGAATCGGGCATTGCCATCTTTGCATGGAGGGTCATTTGAAATTACGCTTACAGTCACTTTAAGGGTATTGTTGTAAATCTGACATGCCACGCTATACTTCGGTAGTCACTAAAAATTATGTCTACAACCTTTTTAAAAGTATTTCTATCATTTCCTTTGTTGAGAGGTAGGCTGAAAAGTTTTACTTAAAAATCAATTTTTAATTTTGGAAATTGTCTTTCAACAAATTATTTGTTTAAAATATTTTTCATAAAAATCTGCACAATGGCAGTTTATAAACGGAGTTTTCACTTGTTATTCCAGAATTATAATAAATAAACCTTAAAGATATTTTACATTTATAAGTTATATTATTAGATTTTTGTTTCAGAAAACCTGGATATTTTCTTCATCCTGAAGTCAAGATTAAGAAGTCAGGATTAAGCATTAAGCTCCATCAAATGCAGTCCTACAGATGAATTCAATTCATCTACGATATCCGGTGTTCATACCCTGTAGGGATAAATTTATCCTTAAATTTAGAAGTGCCCAAATTGGATATTGTGATCGATCAAGTGTTAAAAGATTCTACAAAGTTTCAACTTCTGATCCTACTTTATTCATTTGAAGAAGTGCTTTTAATGCACTGACAATTTTAATTTGCACTTGCACTGTCAAAATACTTCTAATATCGGGAATTATTGTGCTGTATCTCTGTATTTTGACACGGCAAGTACAAATAAAAATAAACAGTGTAAATTTTTAGGGTTAATCAATAGTTTATTAGAGGTCGATTTATGGTCAGAATAAGGTTGCCCTGACGTTGATACATGGTTGAAATTTAGTCGCTTAAAGAATATCCACGTGGCTGACATGTCAATTCAATGTCATTTAAAGGTTGGAAAATTTCAAAAATGACGTCATGACAATGTTGGGGACGACGTTGATACAACGTTTTCTAATGCGACGTTGTAACAGCGCCACAAATAGTGCGATCCCACGTCGATAAGAGGTTAAACATGATAATATACGACGATATATCCACGTCAAGGTTGCAAAGGCAACGTGGAATCGACGCTTAGTCCATGTGATCAGGTTTACTGGGCACTGTTCATCTTGCGGAGACATTATATAAACACATCTGTGCAGTCTTTTACCCTTTTCATTAAATAAACTCTAGCAGACATAATAATATTATTGCTTTTGAAATTAGGTATTACAATGCTAATTCATAACAAAGACGATATCGAATTCGTCACTGAATTCCCATGTTTTTTGGGACACCCTGTAGTGCAAATTAACACAAATCGAGCCTTACTCGATGATTAAAGCTAATCAGCTAAATCATGGAAGTTCTGTAAAAGTATTATATATTTAAACAGCATCCCATGACTTTAAAAATTTCGCAAATGTTACAGGTCATGCATCTCATCATGCATAGAAACTTTCTGAACAAATTGAGCTCTTCAGACGGAGTGCTAAATTAGTTTTGATCCGATGATGGAGTCAATCTTCGACAGCAAACAATTCCGTAGTAAAAAAGACGGCTTTTAATCATCCGATGCCGGAGTTCCACAAGAAGACATTTGCGGATGAAAATAAGAGTTCCGATCACAGTAGAAAAAAAGAAAACGGTGGAAAGAAAGAATAATTTTCCAGCTGGGTTGCGATTCTATTCCAGTACCCATGTGTCAGTATATGTAGTTGACATTGCTAACATAAGGATCTCGCCGTCCTGTTGCACACAAATTTGTTGGTCGGATGCACATACTTTTGTAGGTCGGATGCACACTTTTTTAGGTCGAATGTACACATTTGGTAGGTCGACGCACACTCTGATGTTAGGTTAAGTCCAGGCCGAGCGCTGCGGCTAGAACAGGCTAGGGGGCCGAGCGCTGCGGCCACATAATCAAATATCACATTATCAAATGGACAATGTGATAGCTGATATGTGAGGTTAGGTTAAGGCAATAATTCTGGGCTGAACGCTGCAGCTAGGACTGGACTAGGGGCCGAGCGCAAAGGCCACATTTATCAAATTGACAGAGATAGCCAATCTATTGGGTTAGGTTTTAGGTTAAGACAATTTCTGGGCCAAGCGCTGCGGCTAGGACAGGCTAGGGACTGAGCGCGTTGCGGCCATCTTTATCAATTTGATTAAGTAATATAGCTAATATGTGGGGTTCGGTTAAGGTTATCCAATTTCTGAGCCGAGCGCTGCGGCTACCTAATAACTGTGCATCAGACCTACAAAATGTGTGCACTATCTTTTCTACTTACATGTGTACATCTGACCTACAAAAGTTGTGCATCCGACCTGCAAAAGTTGTGCATCTGATCGACAAAAGTTGTGCTTCCGAACTAATGTTGTGTATGACCTACTAAGGTTGTTCATCTGACCTAAAAATGCAATGCATCCGTCCTACAAAATGTCTACATTCAACCAAAGTAATTGTCTGCTTAAAATAAATAAAATAAAACCAAATCATCAAATCAGAAATGTAATGACTAGCTTCCACGTAAAAAATAGTTTATTAAAACAACGTATATTGTAAAACGTTTGAAAAAAAACTTCAATGTTCATCATAAAAACATTTTTTCTGTAGAGGCTCAGATTGCTGTTACATTTTGTCCTTCTGGTTGATCCAGGAACAGAGTGGAAAAGACGTTGTTGAAGAATTCCGGATAGTACTGACAGGCACGCTCACAGTCAGGAGACCAATTGAACTCGAGCATTTTTGGAACCAAGATCTAAAAACATGCTTAGAGTCATGCATTGGCTTTAGCTATGATGTATGTTGGATCTGTAACAACAGTATTAATGATATGCTCTTTATTTAAAATTTGCAGGAGAGAAATAGGAGTTGGAGGTGAAAAATTGGGTTCTAAACTTCCAATGCAGGCGATATAGTATGATATCCCCAGAGCTTTTTGAGAAGTACATTGTTTATGAAGATGAAACTTTATCAAATCTTAATTTTCAGCACAAATTTTGCATGTATGTATAAAGATTATATCTTATTAAACCTTACTTATTTCCCCCTATACAAACGTAACCTTAAAAAAAGCAGTTTAAAAACTTTGCAGTCGGTTTCATTTGACACCATTTGATTTAAACATGTAAATAACTAATTAAAATAACTATCAAGTCTTTAAATAAATGTGATTGTGTACCTTGTTCCCATCTTTGTCTTTATCCCAGGAGAGCATTAAGTCCGTTGCGTACATAGCCCCAGACTGCGGACTTGCTCCTAAACCACAAGGTGGGGGTAAAGCTGTAGCCCCCTCAAATACACCTTAATAGATGAAATTGTGTCACACATGTTTTAATATTGAGGAAAAAATTCTTTGCGAGTATAATCAATTTAGGAAGTTAAATTGTTACCTTTGATCATTTTGAATATATCCTGCTGAACCGTGTCCCAAGCAAAACCTGAGTTCTGTTTCTCGAACTCCAATATGAAATCCTTCATGATAACAAAAATTAAAACCTTAAAATTAGAAAATAGTAAACTTTCAGTATCTTAAATTTTTATCTCAGATTCTTATATATAAATAGAATTTTTATTCAGCCCGAGCCCAACTATGAGTCAGCAAAATCACTTTTTATTAATGCTTCAACTGACTCATGTAAATTAATTTCTTAACAGTAATAATTTGTTCCCTGGCAGTACATTTGTTTAAGTTGAACTGGAGTGTAGTTCATCACGGTGAAGTGCTTCTCGTAAATATCTAATTCACTATTTACCACGTTTAACAAAACTGAATGTTGATTTAAACTTTTTTTGGACAAGTTTTTGGGTTTTAAAATATTTTTAAAAGGTTTTGACTATTTTTCTACAGTCTCCTGCTATTACTAAAAGTAAAGTCTTCAAATTTATGTACGTTCCTGAGATCAAATGGTATATTGGCAAATCTCAGCCAGAACCGGTTGTAAGCGTACACCTGAAATCACAAATACAAAACTCCTTAGATAAAGATAAAATAATTAACAAATAATTAAGAAATATATTAATAAATGAGTTAACTAAAATCCACCTGTAAAGGTTGTACAGATTTCAAAAGTATGATATATCTGATGTCGAATTTGACTTCCCCCAGCTCTGGTCGGTGAAATAGTACAGGATCCTCCAGATACTTTTGTGCAATCTTAGGACCGGAGAACGGTAAACGAAGAATATGGGAAAGATTACTTGAGACTTGAGTGTCCAGACCTTGCCAAAAAAGTTAGTTAATGCTTCACAAGTCTTATAAATCTTATATTTTTATTCATTACAAATGAAAATAAAAAATTAATATGGAATTAAATCGATGATTTAATGTCACTGAACATGTATTGGATTAAAACGTAATTATATCTTTAATAATCCTGGAAAGTTGTTAAAATGTAAGCATATATTTAATAGTCCTGGAAAGGTGTTAAAGCGTAATTATATCTTTAATAATCCTGGAAAGTTGTTAAAACGTAAGCATATATTTAATAGTCCTGGAAAGGTGTTAAAGCGTAATTATATCTTTAATAATCCTGGAAAGGTGTTAAAACGTAAGCATATATTTAATAGTCCTGGACAAGTGTTAGNCCCCACCCTGAAGCATTTGGGAACCTTACGACATTTTAAAAACGAAGAGTTAAACGTTGTTACACTCGAGCAGAACTTTTTAGTTTTGGGGTGGTTCATTGTGTATACACGCCAATATATTTTCTATCTCCGTTTTTCATTTAACATGCTAATCACGAATTAATTGTATTAAATGTTGAATCTAAAAAAACAGGTAAAAGCGTTGCATCTATGACATTTTGCAATATCTCAGCAACTAATTATGGTAGCCGTTGCTAATTTTGAGAACTAATCAAAAATAACGAAAGGAAAAAATGTTATTTAATCCATTAGTAAACTTTTTTTGAAAAAGTTGATCTTAGAAATTTGAACATATTACCCCAAAAGATTTGACTTTATATCCTATTCCAAGGTCATTGAATTAATGTACATGTAAAATTAGCTCCGGCAACCATAATTAGTTCATGAGATGCAGCAAAATGTTCTTTTTTTTCAGGGCTCAAAATTAAATCAATTTATTTGTGGTTAGCATGATGTATATGATATATATATATTAAATGATATATATAAATATATGATATAAAAAAAGGAAGATAGAAAAGATATTGGTGCGTACTGTGTATACACAATGTACCACCCCAACAGTTCTACTGGAGTGTGTGCATTGTGCAAGTGACAGAAGTTAAAATATCTGTTTTTTAAAAATTTCTTTGAGAGGAAGACGACATTTCAGACGAAATACTGTTTTTATAGTTTTTCCAGCACTATTACAATCAAAAACCTATTTAGCAATAAAGCTTACGTTCGACAAGTTACATGCTTTTAAAATTTAATTTTGCGTGGAAAGTGTCAAAACTATTAAAATGTGCCAAATATTACCCCAGGCGGTTTTTAACGGCAAACCGGCTACCATACTAACTTTCTGAGACACTGTAAAACGTCATTGGAATTCACCTCTTGCTAGGTTCCAGGGTTTAATGATCCAATGATTATCCAAACCATCTTTTTCTCGTTTCTGGAAGTAGCTTAGGAACTCCTAACATTAAGATAAACATTATGCTAACAAGATAAAAAATTTAAATTAAAGCAAGAAATGAAATTAATTTCATTTTAAAAATGAGACCGAATTTTAACAATAATTTTAGCATCATGGTTTCCTTGGTAGAAGTCGATCCTTAAAATATAGAAAGATCAAATTTGGTAATTCTATTAATATCTGAATTTAAACTTCGAAGTTCTCAAAATTTCACGATTTTCGACTAGCTGTATAATGTAAATATTGTAAAATTTAGATTTTATTTACCTTTAATTCTGTTTTCAGGTTAAACGTGACTGGAAGCCAATTGGGGCCATGACCTTCACTGTTGACATCTTGGATCCGTCTTTAAATTAAATAAACTTAAATGTCCTGAAGCCCAACCAAGAAATAGCTATCTTAAATTTGAGACAACGCACACAGATTAACTTTTTTTTCTTTTTAATTAAAACTGACCATAACTTGACAAAATTAGATTTACCTTGACACAACGCAAAGCAGATCTTTAATTGTAATCACGTTCTCGAAAGGAAACTGGTTTATTTTCTTCTCAGGAAACTCCAAACTGAAGTTCTCGTAATCCTGGGATTAAAGCAAATAAAAAACAAACTTTTTAAATGATTATTAATCAATTCTTTTACTGAGAGCTAGTGGAAAGAAGCTGTTGACTGACAAAAACCTTGAAATGTGAGGATAACCAGAGTATATCAGCTTCAGCCATGTTGTCCGTCAACTCCAATCTTGAGTCGGTCAGGTTGGATCTGATGTGCTCATACTCGGCATATACCTGAGTAATGAATTTCTAGACAAACACGAAAACCATAAATTTTTCATAAATAAAGCATTCCTTAATCCTTATGACTTCAAATTACATGTTTTACCTTAATTTTCCGATCTTTAGGAAGGGTAGAGACTGGAGTTGAAGGATCCGGAAGGGTTTCCAACTCTCGGCCGGACATAAAGAATGATTTATCTGGTTCTATCTGTGTGGAATCCTCATTTGAAACATCAAATGTAAACCAGGCCGCTTAAAAAACATAATTAAAAATAATAAACATATGAGTTAGTCCTTAAAACAAGAAAACTTCTTAAATCAACTACCTCCTTCAAAGATTTTTTTCCCTTTAATGTTGTCTCTTTTATTATATTATATTCATATATCAAAATTTTGTTGGGGGCTCAGTTTAATCTATGCTTTTCAGGTTTTTTTTGGACTCAACCGGTTTTAATATATATTACGATATGTATATATTGTGAACCAGTGACGGTTCACAATTGTAAATAATATAGTTAGTTTATTACTCTCAAGCGAGAATATGTTTGTGAGCCTGATAATCTAACCCAAGCCAACCGTTAGTATGTTTGTAGCCTGATGATCCAACAGGCCAGGCCGATACCAGAGCAGGAAAAGGGGAATAACAGGATTCTTAGGCCAGGGAAGAAATGAAGATGACGATTACGAAGACGATGATGATGATGATATTGAATCATTATGATTAAGGAAAACCAAAAGCGGAATGGATTCATGAAGGAAGTTATTAAATTAGTTTTTTTAATTTACTCACCAAGTAAACAATTCCTAGTCATTGAGTCTTCTGCTTCTAAACTCTCAACATAATCCCGCGTTACCTCAGAACCTAAAACAAAAGATTTGTTGAGCTAGTTAGTCTTTGGAAAAAAACATCATGAACTTAATCTCACACCTTTATTTGAGAAAAAATCAGCATGCACCCACAATGTAAAGGATTATACATGCTTTGCAGACGGGTACTCCATTTGTATATGAAATATTTAGAAAAGGTTATTGTATACGCGGTTATTGTACATCAGACAAATATTTCTTATTCAAATGGAGTACCCGTCTGCAAAGGATGTATAATCAATCATATGGTAGGGCGAACCGCGTCAGTTATATCTCCCTTCTATTCCTTACTCCCTGACATAAACACACAGTCTGATGTTAACTGCCCTGACCTACACCCATACTGTACTTTACCATAGTATCCATTCTTATCACAGATTGTGTCCATCCTTGCATGCTTGATGTTTGTGATCACCTTCAAGTTTATATCATACTGTCAGTGGACGCTTTTTTGATACAAGCAGTGAGGGCGACTTCTTGTCAATCAGTGTAATTTGTCCGACTATCAATGATTCTGAAAGGTTTTGTTAATAACTTAGGTTAGCATGGTTACAAAGCTTGGTCCTGCATATTTAAGCATGGCTACCATAACATTGTCAAATCCTGGAGCTCTCTGTAGCTTCAATTTCTCTGCAATCGCTCTAACCTCGGTTTTATATCCATCTCTTTGAAGAGCTGTTCTCCTCTGTGCGAGATTATTGCTGATTGCTGTCCAGAAAAGATTTTTGCTAGTTCTTCCAGGACTATCTCTTCTATTCTTGCTCTATCTGTATCTAATTTTCCTTGTGCATCCTTAACTGCTGTTAGTGTTTCTTTCTTCCTAACCGTTCTTGTGACTAATCTCCAGAACTACTTGGAAGTCAAGGTTGCTCTTAAATGCAGTCTTTGTTGAAGTCAGCGTTGAGGTTTTTTGCTTCCTGTTTGAAGAACAATAAAAGCTTCTCTTTGTTCTTCTCATCCTTGCCGGTTCCAAAACCTAGGAGGGTTTTCTCATGTTCCAGTTGTTTAACCTGCAACTCTGTAACTATGCACTTCTTTTGAAGTCCACGCATGTACTTGCACACCGTCACAAAGGTCCTTTTCTGTGGTTTTTGGTTGCAAGCAATTTTTGCTGCTCCAACTAGTTTTACCTCGTAAAATGTTAAATTCCTGCATACAAACAAAGTACACTTATTTCTCTTAACTACTCATTTTGCAGAACTATTTCAGACTCATTATACATCAACAAAGTTTTGCAAAATAACATAACAGCCTTTTACTATTTTTATTTAATGCTCTGGTAAACGTAACTACTAACTTTATTTAGAACATGGAAAATAGGCATTTCATTGTCACTCAATTCCCATGTTTATAGAGACAATGTATCGGAAGTATACCTTGAGCTATAGCTTTAATAGGAAAGAGAAGTGAGTATCCACATCCGTCCCCAAGATATAAAAAAGGCACAAGCCGGAAGGATGGAAAGTTTGAATGCTGAATTCTGGAACCAAACTCATCAAGAACATACCTAAACTCAAAATAAATTAAAATATAAATTATAGAAAATAACGTTAACAATTCCTTTTAGTGGATTTGTATTTGCGTCAATTCTACTATCACGTTGTCATTAACTGTTTTTGAACTTCCGAATAAAAAAGATACATTAATGTTTGATAATAATAATGATAATAATGATAATAATGATAATAATTATAATTATGATAATAATGATAATGATGATAATCATGATAATGATGATAATCATGATAATCATGATAATCATGATAATCATGATAATCATGATAATAATGATAATAATGATGATTATGATGATTATGATGATTATGATAATAATGATGATAATGATAATAATAATAATAATAATAATGATAATAATGATAATAACAATAATCATGATAATAATGATAATAATGATAATAATGATAATAATGATAATTATGATAATTATGATAATAATGATAATAATGATAATAATGATAATAATGATAATAATGATAATAATGATAATAATGATAATAATGATAATAATGATAATAATGATAATAATGATTATAATGATTATAATGATTATAATGATAATAATGATAATAATGATTATAATGATTATAATGATAATAATGATAATTATGATAATTATGATAATAATGATAATTATGATAATAATGATAATTATGATAATAATAATAATAATAATGATAATAATGATAATAATGATAATTATGATAATAACAATAATAACTTCACTCACCATAAAGGCTGCCTTTCTTCAACATTCTCGGCGCTAGCAATACTGTATGTTTGGCTGTATTTCCATTTCTCTACCATAATCTTTTCAATCATGTCTTTTGCTGGCAGTTCATCTTCATCTACATCCTAAAAACGAATGTCTTAAGCTCATATTCCAACATCTTTTTATTGTTTAAGGGGTAAGATAATTTTTATGCAATTCAGAAAATATTTTTGATAGTCAAAAAATGATTTTTTCTTTAGTATTCTATTCTACGGGATTTTTTCCTTCAAAGATTTCTTATTAAATCAAATATTTATATGTATATATACCAAAATTAACGTTTATTTTAAACTGTACCATTAAAACTGTGTGGGAATAAATAAAACGTGTTTAATCTTTCTAACAAAAATTAATGTGAATACATTAAATATTTAATACATATATATTACATATATCCATATATATACATAATTGAGACTTAATAAATAGATAATGAAAAGAACCTTTGAATTAATAAGGTCGAACACGAGATTTTTAACTTTTATTAAAACTTAAACCATTTGTTACACCATTTCATTACCATTTTTAGATCCATTAGTGCTGACATTCTTGTAACCAATCCTGGGATCTCCTCCAGGTTTTTACGTGCATTCTCTGTTCTAATAAAATAAGTTTAAAGTATTTGAAAATTGGTTAAAATAGTATTGCTTCAAAACCTGTAGGTCCAAGAATGATCAACTAGATAAATATGATCTGGGCTGTTTGTATCCATCTCTACCTTGCTAACGACTTTCCACCTAAACATCAGCGAGTTCTCTTTAGCGAGACTAAAACTAGTTGATAACGAGAATTTAGGAATATTTTAAACAAATTTTGTCTTTTCGTGCCAGGGGCGATTACTAGGGTTAGCCTTGGGCGAAATAGCTCATCATTGGAAAATTGCTCCTTCCTAAAGCATTGAGGGGAGCTACGGAAAATTGGCTCAGGCTTAATAAGACCTGTATCCGCCCCTGTCTCGTACCTAGGATTTCCTTCCTTCCAATCTCCTTTTTCATATTCAATACTCAATAGGGCAAAAGCATCTCCGGCATCAAATACTCCATTTGAGATCTGAACAAATAGTAATCACCACCATGCACTCAAATGTGTTTTGCAGCATTAAATGTTGAAAATAAATTACTATTTACGTTTATTAGCAGGGAACTTATACTATTTTAAAACTTATTGTATTTGTAAATATGCCTCCTAAAGGTTTCATTTAAAAGGTGAAAAATTTGAGCTACTTAAATATAATGGATCAATATGAGCAAACTAAAAACAATTGAATTGAATTAAAACCTAATTGTAACTAAAACCGAAAACAAACCTTGGAAAAAAGGGCGTTCCATAGATGTTTAGGAACACCCCCCGACTCCAACTGGTTTTTATGCTGAGAAACAAAGATCAGAAGAGGATCCAATCCATTCTGGGAAGCAACAGGCATTTTTTCTAAATCTGAAAAATGAAAAATGGCCAAATAAAAAAATCCAGTGTTTTTATGCCAAACAATTTCCACCTTGTAATTTCCATGACGAATTTAAACAATGTGATATAAAGAGTAAAAAAACAGAAACTGCAAAAACTACTTGACAGGAAATATAAGCACCTTTATCTTTTCTATTTGACTTAATAATGATGGCTTTCAGTATAAAACACCAGATATAAAGCAGCAGATTAATGTTATAAAATCTTTTTGAAAATATAAAATAGCCTGAGCTATAACTTTTAATTTAGTTAACAGAAAACACAACTTTTTCTGATCCTTATAAAAACCACTTTTCTGCAGTGTACGGCAATTTAGGCGACCCTTAGTTTCTCTTTAATAACCACATTAATCCTTTTTTGTAATGTTTTATCTTTCAATATAAAAAATCTATTTTATTGAAAAAAATGTTGCATTTTACATTAAAAAATATTGAAATAAAAATGAAATCGATTGTAAAGCATTAGCAATCTTTATCTCAACCAAGTCGATTAGAATAATTATTTATTGTGGCATTACAGGCAAATCATTACTTTTTAACAATTTGAATAACATCCTCGTCGGCCATCAGGTGGGAAAGTCCAACCCTTTGTGGGTTGAACTTAGTGCTTGTTCCCCAGACCAGGGCATATTTACAATCATCAGCCAGAGTTCTTAAAATATAATATAGTAATATATATTTTTTTAACTTATTTCATTCAGATATCAAATTTATTGACATGTTAGAAGTAGATAAAGGATACGAAAGCTTGAATTTCTAAAGTGTATACTAAAAAGGGAATCAACTAGCCAAAACCTAGTTAAAATTCTTCTATTAATAATATCCGCCCACGCCTAAAAAAGTCGATTTTTCCCCAAAAGATGTTTTGTTTGTGTGTGTGGAGAGACGCATATTTCCCTCTGGGTGAGAACTTTTACATGTTAATTTGTTTCTGTGGATTCAGTGTAAATCGTTTCCTAAACTCTTCTTAAATCCGTCATGGTTTCGGTAGATTTTCTAGGGGTTGGAATATTTGACAAAAATATTTTTTCTCTTCACAAATTAACTGTCGAATCATGTTCTTAGTAATTCATTTCACCTGTGAATTCCATGGCAAACGTGTGTGACATTAACTCCGTTTCTCAGAATAATTGAATCATCAAAATCAGGAGCCTGTCCAGGTTTTTTTGTGTAAACACTAAAAATGCAAAATTAAATTAATTAAAATTTGATAAAAAATTAAATAAGTTCTATAATCTTTTGTACCGAAGTAGATCAAGATGCTCCCAGAGACACTCAAGCAAATAGTCCAGGTTTAGTTTCATCTCACACGAAATCACTACATTGTGCTCAGCACGGGCCAACCTATAATGTTACAAATAAAATCAAAATACAATAATTGCTCGGCTCCAACTTCCAATCCGGAGTTATAGATCAAAATAATAATAAAAAATTAAACCTTTCATTCATTGTATACCAATAATTAGAAGAGCGATTAATGCCCCCGTCCCGACCAAGTTGATTACACAGTGTGCAGACAGTCAAAGTTGGAATATTTCAACATAATTCTGAGGGAGGGGGGGCCGTAAACGGGAGAATAACCCCCAGGATCCCACAAGGGTGGGCGGTCCTATAGATAAAAACAAAATAATTGGCTAAAATTCTAGCTTACTGGAAAAAGTAAGATTTAAGGTAAAGTAAGTAATTGCTAATTAGCATATTGATAAAACAATGATGAATGAAACAGATAATTAAGATCGATTTAAAACGCCTAGTTTTTATCACAAAATAATGAAAATGTTCGCGAAACATTTAGCNTATGCAGCTCTCTTCAGTCAATTTTCTCTTTTTTTGAAATATAATTTGAACGTTTAACTCGTTTTTCATCTTGATAGGATTGGTCGCGTTGGTGATGTCTGAAAAGTCTTTATGCAAAAGGCAATGATAATAAACAAAAATAATGCCAGAAGATTTACCTGTCTACTTCTTCTAATGAGATTTGATCGATTTTGTTGTAAACATAGAGGCAAGGCATGTAGATTCTAAAATACAGATATTTTATACAAAACATGACCTTTAACCAAAGTATTGACACCGTTTTAACAATCATAAAAAGCAACAGACAAAATACAAATTTACCAAAACTAATCTGTTATAAGACACGACAATGTACTGAAGATGAATTCTGTTATTTGAGCTTTTTTTGAAAACAGAAGTAAGAACCTAAATGAAGTCTTGTAAACCTGTTATCAGCAATAACATCAATGAACTGGTCCATAGTTGCGTCCTCCCTGAAGAGTACCTCGGCATTGTGGATCTTATATTCAGCCAAGATCATTCGAACCTTAAAAATAGTTTTTTTTTTAATGAGTTACTCTTAACATATAGTTTCAGGGTGTCTATATGGGCATCTGGGTATATGCAGATGATATAATTCTGCTTTCTCCTAGCTGAACAGGTCTTTAGGAAATGGTGAAAATTTTGCCAACGCTTCTAAACTGAAATTTAATACAAATATTCGAATCGAAAAATGTAAAACTAAATGCCTTATTTTTTCTAAAGAAAAGGATTAATTATAATTAAATAACCCCAATTTTATTGAATGAATTACCTTTACCATTAAAACATTTAGGAAATGTTCTGCATAGTGATAATTCAATGACCATAGATTGCAATTAAAAACGAGCTATTTTCATTTCAAAAATTCATTCCCTTAACCAAGAATTTTATTTTAACAGTCCAGATGAAATTTTGAAACTGTATAATATTTATTGTTGTTTTTATGAATCTAGTATTTGGGACTTGAGTTCCCAATGTGTTTCAAAATTGTATAAAGCAAGCATGGAATACTGCTATTGGAATTCTTTTTAATGTACCTAGAGATACGCATAGGTACTTGATTGAAAGTATTTCACAATGTTTACATGTAAAAACTATGTTACAAAGTAGATGTGTGTCTTTCTATGATACTATTGAAGCAAGTTCTAATCTTTGCATTAGTTTTCTTTCTAATTTATGCAAAAATGACCTTGACACAGTTCTTGGCAGCAATTTATTTTCAATTGCAAATGATTGTTCTGTAAATCTTTCTGATCTTAGTAAAATGTTAGTTAAGAAACAAATGAAATATTTTGATGTCTCATTGGGCCATGCAAGGAAAGTTCCGGTTTTACAAGAACTTTTAAAGGTAATGTTGCATCGTCTATACGCAACATCCTCTATACTGAACTTCCGACCTACTAACTTTCTGACCTATTGCTATATCCGACCTACGACAGCTGTAGGTCGGTTACACATTTTATTTTTTTAATCCGACCTACAGGCATGATTGAGTTCTAGTCATGTGCATGGAGCGAGGTCAGATGTACATATCTATTTGTAGGTCAGATATACTCTTTTTGTAGGTCGGATCTGTACACTTTTTGTAGGTTGGATGTACTGTTTGTAGGTCGGATGTACACTGTTTGTAGGTCGGATGTACACTTTTTGTAGGTCGGATGTACACTTTTTGTAGGTCGGATGTACACTTTTTGTAGGTCGGATGTACACTTTTTGTAGGTCGGATGTACACTTTTGTAGGTCGGATGTACACGTTTTTTGTAGGTCGGATGTACACTTTTTGTAGGTCGGATATACTCTTTTCGTAGGTCAAATGTACACTTTTAGTAGGTCAGATGTACGATTTTTGTAGGTCTGATGCACATTTTTTGTAGTTCCGATGTGCACTTTTTAATTGTAGGTTAGATGTAAATTCTCTTTGTAGGTCGGATATACTCTTTTTGTAGGTCGGATATACTCTTTTTGTAGGGATCGGATATACTCTTTTTGTAGGTCGGATGTACTCTTTCTAGGTCTGATGTACACTTTTTGTAGGTCGGATTTACACTCTTTGTAGGTCAGATTTACACTCTAATTGCAGGTTGGATATACTCTATTTGTAGGTCGTCTATGATCAGTGATTATATGATCGGATTAATCTATTATGCAAAGAAGATCATTTTCCCTACATTTGAGTGCGATCCAGAGTAAAGCACAGAATCATATTAAATAACAGCTTGAAAAGATTTTATTGGATGCTATCCTGTTTTAACCACCGTTGTTTGAACTATTGTTCTTTGAACTACTACACGTGGTACCCATGAGAAAGTTCAAACAACCAACTTCATGTTTCATGTTCATTTGAACTATTTTTTTTTGTTTATTTAACTACTTTTCATTTGAACCCCAAATTAACAGTAAAAATATTCCGAATGAACATTAAAATATTTCCAATGAACAAAAAATAGTTAAAATGAATAAAAACTGTTCTAATGAACATAAAAATAGTTATAATAAACAAAATAAAGATGTTTTTAAAATAGATTCAAATGAATTCATGAGTCTAAATGAAAAATAGTTTATAGGAACAAAACAATTTGTAGACTATTTTTTTGTTCATTTGAACTATTTTTATGTTGATCTAAAATGCAGCCGAGCTCGCTCAGAAATTGTCTAAAACTTGGCCTAACCCTGAAATTATACACATTTGAGCTATATTTTTGGAATAATTTGAACTATTTTTATGTTCATTTAAACTACTACCCAACAAACAAAAACCCGTGAAGATACACAAGATTATTGGTGTATTTCACACAAGTGACCCGTCAATATCTCGTGATAATTCACGTGTTGTCAAGGTGAATGTCGACGATTTGATCACGGGTCTAGGACCGAGTTTTACATGGTGAAAACCTGAGTTTATTTCACAAGATGAACATGGGATTTTTAAATGAGGAAACTATTTTTCTCCCCTCTATTTAATTTACATTTTTTAAACACCACGGGAAAGGGGGGATATATAATTAATTTCTGATTTATAAATATATTATAAAATTTACTGTGTAAAAGTATATAATTATTACAAAATGTTTAGAAACTAAACATTTTAGTTTATATCTTATACATTAAACATCTTGAACATGTAAACTTTAAACTATTCTTATCGCAAAGTGATATTTCAAGTCTAAATAATGTTCAGTTATGTTAAATGTTTTCATACTTAAAAGAATGCTTCTTCCTATATATATCTATAAAAAGGTCGATATTCCAAAAAGATGTTGTTGAAAAATACAATACAAAATTCAATGTGAAACTTTTCTATACTCTGCTCATGCTTGTTATAATCTGTTATAATCTGTGGGACACCCTGAATTAGACCAATATTCTGACAGTAGAAGACTTTAGTGGTAGGACTTGAGGATAAACATTATACTCGGTTTATTATATACTGTTAACCAAGGTTATATTGCAAGGAAAATAAATTTTAGCTGCGAATCCTCTGCTCCCCCCCCCCCCTCCCCTTAAATAAAATATTGATTTGGCTTCAACTGAATCTGGCAGAGAATGACACGTAACAAGTCAAAATAAAAGTTATTCCTAAATCTGATACTTATTAAGATTAGATAAGATTTTAGGAACAATTGCTACATGATAATTAACTCCATTCAACTAATATCAGGTAAGAGCTAAAATAACTCAGGGTCTGTCCAAGAGAACGATGTTTAGAACCCCCCCCCCCCCATCAATTTGATAATTTCAGCAAAATTAACAGTTATCATTGAATATTTTTCGTCATATTAGGATATGATTCAGACAATTTCTAGCCAGAACACTGCGGCTAAGAGACCGGGCGCAGGAGTCGCGTGACCAATGATCAATGAGCAAAATTGATGGAAGGGGGGGGGCGGTAAAATCGTTCTCTAGGATATTACCAAAACCTGATTCATACCAAAATAAAAATATATGTCTAATAGTTTATTTTTTAATAATGCATTGCGCTACAACAATTGTCACTTTTAAACGCATGTATTATGTCGAAATGTGGATTAGGTAGTTTAATAAATACATCTGTTGGGGGGTCAGTCTGAGAGGCCGGGTGTTTAGCTGAGGTGGTTCTTCAGGTACTTGCTCATGCCGAAGGCCTTTATCCTTTCCTTGCCGAACACGGGCTCCATGGTTTTGTCAGGGGTGAAGAACTGCTTGTTTTCGGGATCCTAAATAAGAAAAAATATTAACATTATACACGACGTATTTACCGCATATCACTGGCCATAACGTGAACTTCACGGCTGTAAGATGACCAAAATTTAGAATATACTAAAACGTTTTACAAATGCGAAATTTAGGTAAAATTCTCACCTGAAGCTTCTTCTCCTTAAGATAGGCCCAGAGACGCTTGATGATCTCGGATCTGGCGAGCTTCTCGTCCTTCTTGGCTCCAACAATAGTTGCAAGCTCTGCAGAGAGGGCCATGGGCTTGGTAAGTCCGTTAACCTTCTTAGGGGCAGCAGCTCCATCATCACTCTTTCCCTTTGGCGCCATTTTTATTATCAGGTACTAGCAGTAGTCACGTCGGATGATAGTAGTTGAGTGATGCTTTACTTCGGTACCGGCTAATACTTATAACCTCACGGGAGCTGTACTAATATTGTACCGGCTCGTATAGAGAGATTCAACTACTTGCGGGGTGGGGTAGGCGGGCTCAGGCGGGGCGGGGCGGGTTGAGAGTAGGTACTACAACCGATGTTCTCTGCCTAGTCTGTAGGGAAGAAAGAAAGAGCGGGTATAAGTGAAGCTAGCTATACATTTCTAGCTGTAGTAGCGTCCTCTCGGCACTATACTCCACCATATTAAATTAAATAACCCTTATTAAGTATGAGAATGTAAACCATGATACCATTACCATGATAGCAAACCCGTTGAAAAAGGCGGATGGTTAAGGTGGGGGGGGGGTCCCTTGCCCCTTTTCTATGGCTTATAGCATATAAAAGGGGGCATTGCTCAAAATTTACTCAAAAGTCACTGCAGAACAGCGCGTTTATCAAATTCGATGGCACAATAATTGTTTGTCAAATTATGGGAGGGGGGGGGGGCTGCGGGGGTTGCTCCCTCACCTCTCAAAAGGTTGAGCCCATCTTACCCCCCCCCCCC